TTTCATATAAATAAGTCAAGATATAGTGATCGAAAGTTTGGTCAATGTTAATTTTACTGTGTATTTAGGCTTATCTAAGAATAAAATAAAAACCTATTCACACTATCATAAATTTATTTAAACAAAGATAATTTTATTCAAAATTTAATTTTTCCTTATTTAATTTAATAGTGACTGAAAATCTTTTTGAATTGCAAGAAATAAGAATTTTTTTACTAAGTAATTTTATATGATAAAAATCTGAAATTTTAAAAAAATCAGTGATGACATTGCTTATGAAAAACAAAATTTTAAAAAAGTTGTATTTTTAAAATTATATTTTGCAATAACTATTAGACATTCCTCCCACATTTATCATTTAATGGTGTAAAAATTCACTTACAATTTAAAAATTTTTGATTACAAAATAGAATTATAAGACTTCATTATATTTAACGATAGAATTTTCCTTGGATAAACAAATTTTAATATAGTGTATAAATTTTTTTTTTGCTCAGTTCAAAATTTATAATGAAAAACACAAGTAAAATTAACAAACTAAAATTTATGACTGCACTTGTGATATCTAAAGACTATATTTTTCAAATGGCAATGACCCTTTATGTTTAGAGATTCAAAAATTTGGATTCGTTAAAAGGTGTGCTAATTCAGAAAAAGTACATATTAGTATTTGATTTTGTAACTTAAATATCACCTGCATTAATTAACATATTTAAGTGAATCTACTACTCTAACTATTATGATTGCAACCTTGCATGTGAAAGCCTAAATATTAAATCAAATGTAAATAAGAGAATTTTTCTTTTATACACTGCACACATCTTGATTTTCAAAATATCAAACCTCTTTTAACTTAATAAATGCACATTCGATTTTGATTATAATGAACATTAGAATATCTTTAAGGATGAATAGTATTTATAAATATAATTACTTTAACTTATCACTGTATATATTACCTTACTGGGCACTGATTCTTGCCTTTTTTCAAACTTTAAGTTTCTTGATTTAATGTTCTAAATTTAATGAAATATTCTGCAATAGTAAAAATGATGGCATACAGTAAAAAAGAAAAAAAAAAGATAAAGTTGTATGATTCTGACTCCCAAAAAATAAATTAAAAAAGGAGTAATACGGAAAAAACATTTAACAGAAACAAAAAGGCTGTACATTTAACAAATGAAATCATAAATTGATTTTGAACAACTCTCAATTAAATAAAAGATGCAAACTCACAAACTTGATCAGCATACACTAATATTAATTTAGTAAATGTAATATTAAAGAAGTCTGAAACCTTAAAGATTATCTTTAAACTAAATAAAAGATATGATAAATTTTATAGCTTTTTCAATTTAACTGCATACTATTTCAATTTTACTAATAATTCCAATGACATTAAGTACTTGTTTTCAATTTTGAAAAGAATCAGTATGTGTATGATCCTATTATTGCTAAATACTTCATTAAAATAAGCAGGAGGAGAACAAAATTAAAACATTAAGTAAATATAAAGCTGCAAAACATTTTGGAAGTCTTATCCGTTACAATACTAGCACATGTAAAAAAATAATTATCCAAAGTGGTTGCATTATTTTTTACACTTTAACTTTTTAAGGTTTCTAACAAATGTATATTTGAATTATGATTAAATCTTTAGACAAATTTGAAGTTAGAAAAATTTGAGGTATTGCCAAATTTTTTTTATCAGCGAATTATTATAAATTAAACTAGATTCACAGGACATTTTAGAACAGTTTTTTTGGGGGAGGGGAAGAGAAATAATTTGTAACATTTTTAGTTCAGGAGTTATATTGAATCTTATATTATAACAATAAAACTATGCTATTCCTAATCATTGCCGTTAATTTAAATGTACTTTGAAAATTACTTCACAAATATGATACAGTAGACTCTTTATGAACAGGAATCAGATTATCTGGGCTGTGAATTATCCAGGAAAACCCCTCCCCCCCCCAAAAAAGAGAGAAAATTGCGGATTGCGGCTGATGAAATGAGTAGGAAAACCAGATTCTTCTCAAACTTTCCTTCTTATAGCATTGGACTCCTTCAACCGACCTTGAGAACATCCAACCAGTTTTGCTCTCATTCTGGAATGCTTGCGAGGCGGAACAAGGCAAGATACGATTCAACCACCATCACAGTATCAGTGTTGTTCAGATTAACATTTGTTCAACTTTTTGTAGTGTTAACATGTCAAAACACAAAAGAGTTTTTCTTAGTATAAATCAAACGCTAGAAATAATTGAAAAAACGGTAAACGAACAAGCAGTTAAATCGTTAACGCATGAATATTGGATTAGTGATTAAACTATGCATGACATTATAGAAAAAAAGTCTAGTTAATTCTTTTTTTTTAATTAATTTTAATGTTTAATTGTATAATAATTTAACATTTTCTATCATTTTTTCATTGGATTATCCAGGAAATTTGCGTATCCTGTACAAATCATTTCCCAAACATCCCAGTTAATTGAGAGTCTACTGTACTTCTCCTAAATGAGACAAAACATGAATATTTTTTAAACAAATGTACAATCAAGCTTTCAAAATTATTAATGATTAAAAACACAATAACCAAAGTTACAATTTAAAATTAAATAAATTTGAAAATAATCAAACTTAAAATAAATATATTTAAAAATATAAAAAAACTATATACAAATAAAAATATCACCACTCTTAGAATTAGAAATTTATCCTGGTTCACTTTTCAAAAAAATTGCTCTTTCTACGAGATCTCAAGCCAACTTTAAACCGAATTAGCATTTTTACTAATTAGGTCCTTCTGAATACGAGCACCAATATTGGAATATCCAAGCTTTGACAAGAAGACAAATTCTAAATCTTGACCTGTTAATTATTTAGCTATTTTTGTTTGGTAAAATACCCCCCCCCCCCC